AGGTCACACACACAAAGTGGATCTGCTGATAGCCCTGAGGAGCTTCTGTTTGGACCTACTGTTAGCCTTGATAGGCATTCTGATTGGACCTGCTGATAGCCCTGAGGAGCATTTTGATTGGATCTGCTGATAGTCCTGACAAGGATTCTTATTGGCCCAGCTTGGGTTGTTCATCTACTCATGAACCTATCACCTGGGCTAGTGTATGGAGCACTCTGACTGGCTCACTTGTCTACAGCTGGGGATAAAAGTAGTGTTGTCAGCCTCTCCAACTAGGAGCACTCACTCAAAAAACCCAGCCGTAGGTAGACAACATATGTTTACTGTAAGGAGTTTCACATCTGTCAGCTCTACTTTCATCTCATGCTAGTGTTTTATTCCTCAAACCCCCCACACTAGGGTTTCAGGGACCTTTTTATTATTCTTAAGATATGTCCAGTTCCTGCATGACTGTGCTTTTGTACATGCTCTTCCTTCTGGGTACAGATTTCCTCTTCTCGTGGAAGGCTTTCACTAATTCTTTAACACTTAGTTCAAATTTGCTTCCTCTCTGGGGTCTCCCTGACTTCTGCTGGTAGAATAGTTGCTCAGACCTTAAGCTTTTATAGTTCTTTATTTGTTTATATCACGGCCGCTTCTATTCCAAAGTATTTGCTTTCTTGTTCACTTTCCCCCACTACTAGTATTCTCTGGGCTCCTTGAGAGCAGCGACTGTGTCTTACCCTCCCCCCGCCTTTTTTTTCAGTGCTTAGTGTAAGAGAATGCCTGTCACATAGCAGATCGCCATGAAAAGACGGTGTCATAAAATAGTGTTTTCAAGCTGCCTTCTCTAAAGGATGCTTTTATAAAGGAATCCATATTCGGGATGTCATTGAGGGCATCAGAGAATTTTCAGATGCTTCTTTCTCAAGCACTGGGCTTTTCTGAAACCAATGAAATGCAACACTCAGAGAAGTAATATTTTGAATTCAGATAAATTTTCAATAGTCTATATCAGTGGTTCCCAAACTTATTTGGCCTACCGCCCCCTTTCCAGAAAAAATATTACTCAGTGCCCCTGGGAATTAATTTTTTAAAAATTTTAATAGCAATTAAACAGAAAGATATATGTATTAATCTTTCTACCTTTTTCGTAAAATATAGTAAAGAAAGGTGTAAATTAGAAACATTGAAGTTTGAAATTATGAAACTATTTATTGAACTCAGAATAGAAAGGTAATACAAAAAAAGTTAAAACAAATGCACCTGTGGCCATCACCGCCCCTCTGGATCGCTGCAGCTCCCACTTTGGGAATCACTGGTCTATATCCTAAGGTCAAGCACACTGTCTATGGGTGAGTCCTGTGGACAGGCAGCGGACACCATTTCTCAACTTGCCCACTGGGCAGATCAGCCTGGGCTCTGCGAAGTCAGGAGCTACGTGTATCATCAGTGTGAGGCTGGTCCTGTCACCTTTTGTCTTGATATTTGCTCTCATATATTTATGCTCATTTGTAGCTGTCCAGGGGGTGCAGGAAAACAAAGGATATGATTCTATGGTTACCTTTAGACCCCTGTCCAGCTCTGCACATGGAGAAGGTCCATGTCGGCACATGCAAGATGAAAGGACTGCTGCTCAGAACTCTGCCTTCGGAAAAACACTTCAGGGAAGGAGGAGCCACTACAACAAGGCAGGCAATTTCCATGTTAGAAACAGGGGTGAGTGAAGAGTCTGCAAGCTCTTCCTAAACTGAATGTATGCAATTCCTGGGTCCCAACAAGAAAAATACTTTAAAAAATGGAACTAAAGTATGCAAAATGAAAGCGACAAGCAAAATTACATAAAAACCAATTATCCATAGGATAATGGTATGAATGTATTAATTAGGCTGAAGAATAAAAACAACAGAAAGAAATATAATTCAGAATTACGAGAGGAAACCTTTATTGTCACAGTCTCTCTGCTCTACTTAGCAAAATTGTGACACATTTTTTCAGCCATACTTTAGATTTAATCTTTAAATCTTGACTGTTCTCCAAGGAAATGAAACTATACAGATCATTTTGTACAGTTCTACTTGAAATACTGTTTTCTCCAGATAAATCACACTCTTAGCTATTATTTGTGTTTTGACATTATGTTAAAGGGCAGACATGGCTCCGTGTTTTGAACTTGTTTTCTGTTGCTCCATAATGATAAAAACAAGCCGGTAATAGAAACCCCTAAATGTAAATTAGAATAAAATTGATAATTAAGAGACTGCTGGAATTTTAAAAACATATAAAAATTAAGCAGGTTTTATGTCTTCTTTTATTTTTCTAGCCCTGAATACTTTTTTTTGCCAGTTTATTGATTCATAAAATGTTCACTATCCATCATACCTGTAAGAGAACAGCAAACTATGATTAATGCACCTTATAAACATTATATTTGATTGGTCAGGATTCTGTATCATCATAGAAAAATTTATCACTTAAATCAATATGGAATTGAGACATATGGTTAGGATATTTAAAAACCCTCTGTCTCTAATCATTATTTGGTGATTTTTCTAGTCCTGACAGAAGATGAATGTTTTATCAGTCAGTGACATCTGATTCAGGGGATCTTGTAACTAATAGCCCCGCAGGAGAGAAAGTTCACTAATGAAGGTTGTTATAAAGGGTAAAGGAAAGAATATGATAGAAAAATTAGAGGTGCCAGAAAAAATAGGCTGTAAATTGATAGTAATGAAGGTGAAGTTTTTCTTTTACATGGCAATAATAATCTATCACCTCCCACACCCTTCTGGGATGAAAATACCTAATTGGCCTTGGAGATAACGTTTGCTAAATGCAGCACCAGACTAATAGGTAGTTTGAAATGTGTTAAATGTGTTTAATTAAATTGATACTCCTGCATTTTCAAAATTTTAAAACTTCCTTGTAAGTGATTGTATACATTTGAAGAAATGTGTAGCATTCTTTTTGTAAAGTGGAAATACTCTAAATCCAATTATAATAAAAAACACTCAGACATAAATGAAGACCAAAAAAAATAGTAAAATTACTTTTTAACCTTTTGACACTTTATAACCAGGAAAAAAAAAAAAAGAGAATTCTTGGGGTTGGAAGGGAGTTGAGGTAAACAGTTGAATGCTCATATGTATCCGTATGCATGTGGAAGTACAGACAATCAATGAAATATTCAACATTATTCTACTATTATTAAATTTAACATGTGCCTGAATGCCAGTAATGCAACAAAGAGTTTCTATTTCCAATTTGGCTATCACTTAGCCTGTTCTTCACAGTTTGGGGATCTATAATTGAAGTGATTTCCTTTATTCATACAACCAAATGTAAGTGCTTGCTTTTGTAGGGGCTGTTCTGTTTAAGAAATTATGTTTAAGGTGAAGGTTAAATTCCCCAATTCCGCTTGGTTCTTAGTACACAGAGGTGGTCCGTTATACATTTACACTAATAGGTGCTCTTCAGAAAAGGGGTTCTGAGCCCTCCTGATTTTGCAGAAACACCTGGTAAAACAAAGTTAAACGTGTTTCTCCAGCATATGACTTCTTAGAGCCAAAGTGCATTCTGACGCTAAGAGGAGGATGTAGTACTTAGTATTGACCTAAATGTTTTGACCATGAAACCTAGACTGCAGAATCCTTGAGACCACTTTCCTTATTTGTTGAAATCATTGTATACCTCAGATGAGGATCAGATGATGTTTCTCCAATGTTGTTTCTGCCCCTGATGGAGATATTTGTGGCCGTGATTTGTGTCATTGGGCTGCCTCTAAGCACTCTCAGTAACCTACCAAGAACAGTGGTGGCAGGCAGCCAGCTGCCTCAGGTGCAGTCAGTGAGAGGGCGTATCGTCTGTAGAGAGTTGGAAAACAATAATAACACCAGGTTGTCTGCTTTCTATTGTTATCATGCTCCATCAATTTTAAACAATGCCAGTAATAAGAATACTCCTCCCTGTAGGAACAGATGCCACTCCCCACCAGTGGCTTGCTATTAAAAACTTGTGTTGGAGAAACTAAGCACCCATTTTTATATTTTATGCCTCCCCCTCCTACCCATCTCAAGGACAATTAAATTTCTCTTATTTGGTAAAAGTGAATTATTTCAAATTAGGAACCTTAGGCACAAAAATCTAAAACCAGTTTCTCATTGAGTTGCTTCATCTTGCTTACTCTACTGAAGAAAAAGTACTGATGCAATAAAAAAAGCACTAGGTATAAAATGCAATATATCCTAGGTTTTGTTTTGTTTTAAGAGAGGCAGTGTCATATTGTAGAATTTATCTTGACACAAAGACCTCAGTTGTAATGGTGGCTCTGAAACTGATGAACCATTGAGCCCTCATGGCATCAACTTTCTGGGGCTCAATTTCCCTATTTTAAAAAGATTAATGAAGGAACCGGGCAGATTATTTTACAACATAGTCATTTTGACTAAGTATGCCAAATTAAGATGATGTCTGGATTCAAGGAATAAGCATTAATTATACAGCCATCACAGTGTTGCTCATTTTCAGAAAAAAACAAATATGTAAGTTCCACCGACTCTAAAGTACTAAACTCTGGGCATTTAAAGACTGTCTCTCAGATTTCCAGAACTCTTAAATGAGAAGAGAAGGAATTCCTTCATGACCCAGAAATAACTCTCTTGCAGACTTTAGGAGTCTCCTCCTCCCCCCTCCCCCCAGCCATCTCCCCCAATTGAAGTCCTGATGTCTACAGATGGCAGATGCTTTAAAATCAGGCTGAAATCAGTCTATGAAGATTGCACTACTCTTGGTGCCTTGTCTCACTGTTTTAGTTAAAGTTTCTACCAGGTCTCTTTTCTGTCTTGGAAGCCTCTAGAGCAGTGATTTTCAACCATTTCATTTCATGGCACACACAAACTAATTACTAAAATTCTGTGGCATACCAAAAAAGATAATTTTTGCCTATTTAACATAAAAATAGGTTTAATTTTGAGTCATTCACACTGGATGTCTATTGTTGTGTTGGCTGTCATTTAAAAAAGTTGATAATCTAAGGGAAAAGAGGTCAGTGCCCCTGACTAAATAGTCGGGTATTGCAGGTTTTAAATATTCTTGTGGCACATTGATTGAAAACTATTGCTCTAATCTAAAGTATACTAAAGCATTTAATATCCATGGTGGACATCGTTGAATTTTTCTTGTTTCACCTGAATAATGGGTATTTTAGACATGGTTCCCAAAGGTATTTGAATATCAGGTGACCAAAAAAGACTTTTTTCTTCATTCATTTATGCATTTATTTAAAAAATGAAAAAAAACTATTGCTTGTCTACTCTGTGCTAACTCCATTGCCAGGGCTGGGTTAGAGTATGGTGTAAATTCTCTGATTTTGAGGAACTTGCCTCTTCTCAGGGGATGGATGGGGCTAGGAGAAAACAGATGGAGTCAAGATGTGCAGACATAGGTTTTTGATTCATTTAGAGTCCTTGCATAGTAAACCATTTATTCTAAACACTGAGCACAGCAATATGCAAGTAATGTACTTTTAGGGGTCAAAAGTTCCGACAAATATTTCCAGCTGTCAGTTAGACCTTACAGCCCTGATTAGATTGAGTAGTCTGCCTGTCTTTCGGTTCAGGCCAAACTCTCTCTGGGCTTGCCCCTTGTTTCTTTCCCTGAGCCAGCGTAGTCAGAGGCTGTTTTTTCCATATACTACAGTAGTGTTTCCCAAACCTCGCTATGCCTCAGAATCACATAGGAAATCACTTGAGGTAGTAAAAAAATGTATATATGTGTCTGTACTATATATAATGGATTTATATATTAATACATATACTCTAAATTTCTGGGATATACTCCAACTTTCTAGGAATGAGGGACCTGAGATCTGTATTATTCATAAAGTGCTGCAGGTGATTTTATTTAATCTGGTGCCATTTTTCAAACCAGATTTAGGAACTACTACCAGATTAGTCTAATGCAAGGATTTCTTCAACCTTCTCTTCTCAGGATTTCACAGTATGAAGTATAAGGCATTTGAGAAGTGTGCCTGCCTTTCCAACTGCATCTCTCATTGCTTCATTACTGGTTCTGTTTCAAACTCACTACTAACTTTTGGAAGCCATCAGCATTCCTGCTTCCATGTCTTCTTTGCACTTTTCTTCATGTCCTGATGGTGCTTTTCCCTCTTCTTAGGTCTCCATTCTTTCAAAGCCGGCTCAAGTCCCACCTCTGACCTGAGAACCTCTCCACTTTGGCAACCTGAGTGCCTTCCTTTTTATAGCCTTTATCATTTGGGTTACCCATTCATCATTGTATTATACTCCTTGTGACCACAAAGTCTAGTTCAACTCTTAGAAAGGTTTCTAAGTGACTGGTGCACATGACATGTCATTTATAGCATTTCATGAATAAGTAAAGGACATTTACCAATACTCTTTAGAAACTAGTGCTGCTGTTTGGCATTTAATTTTGTGAATTCAGTGAAGGCATGTACCGCACCTGTCTTAATCACTAAAATCATGTTCAGTGCCTGGCCTATAATTATTTGTTGGACAATGTTAGGAAAAAGCTTATGTTATTGTTTCAAAACCTTTGGTGTTGCTCTTTGTTCATTGTTCGGTGCATGTTATAATGAGGGTCTGAAACTTTGCTTTGCACTCTTCAGTTCTCATTATTTCCTTTTTAGCACACAGCGGGAGCTTAAGCTGCCCACTTGACACCATGCCTGGTTTCTGTCCCAGAAAGGAGCTGTTTATCATGACTTCACAAGGCAAGTAGACTAACCTGAATTATCCTGTGATTAAAGTAATGTATAAACCTTGAGGCGATTCCACCGTGAACATTCTATCAGCTTAAAAAACTCACTGTGCTCCATAAAACTGATCTTATTGGCTCTCTGGGCTTGTTTATGGTTATGGGGTTTAGGGGAACAGTGAGGATCTGACCCTGGTTCAATAGACAAACTTCTAGTTGATATTCTTTACAAGCACACACTAACTTAAATTCTTCTGATTTTAATTTTGTCCAAGCCTTATAATATACCCTGTCTTAATTGGATCTATTCTTTCTGATAACTATATATCTGGCATTCCATCAATTCTCATAGTGAATCTTCAAGGAAAAAAAAAACTTGATAAAGCAATAACCTATGCGTATTTGGATTTAGAAAGCATCTTTTGCTTTTAACTCTGTAGTTGTAAATATTGTTTGGAAGCCCAAATACCTTGTGTGAAAGGCAGCCAAACCTTGCTTATTTTGGCACAGATAGTTACAGGAAGCTGAAAAATGGTTCCTTCACACATTTTACTAAACTACACAATGAACACATTTTTATTCTAAATAGACCCTTGAGATTCAGGCTGTTTTACCCTTAGCTGAAAGCATAAACCTGGATATTTCTACTGGCAGCAAGTAAAAGGCTCAATAATTATTTATTGAGTATTTTTATAGATCAGATTCCACAGGATGGACTGGGTACAAAGATGAACAAAGCAGTTATATCTTTGTCCCATGCAAGTCACAGTCTATTCATATAGACAGATATTAAGCATATACTAGTAATAATTTAGTTACTGTTGTAATAGTGGTATAAAGTAAATATCTAGTGTATAGTGAGAGAATATCATTAGAGCCCCAACCTCATCTGAGGTGGTGAGTTAGGGGGAGGAGTGGGAAGTGGTCAGAAGAGGCTTCCCAGAATGGGTATTATTTAATACTAGAGGCCCAGTGCACGAATTCATGTACCAGTGGGTTTCCTCGGTCTGGTCTGTGGGACTGGGCTGAAATCAGCTCTCTGACATCCCCTGAGGGGTCCCGGATTGTGAGAGGGTGTAGGCCGGGCCAAGGGACCCCATTGGTGGGTGATCAGGGCCGGGGAGGGACATGGGAGGTTGGCATTAGGGGGAGGAGTGGGAAGTGGTCAGAAAAGGCTTCCCAGAATGGGTATTACTTAATACTAGAGGCCCAGTGCACGAAATTCATGTACCAGTGGGTTTCCTCAGTCTGGTCTGTGGGACTGGGCTGAAATCAGCTCTCTGACATCCCCTGAGGGGTAGCTTTGTTTGGAAGGTTGTCCGGAAAGTTGTGCAGACGGTTGTTCTGCTGTTTGGTCTAATTAGCATATTATGCTCTTTTTATTATTAGGATAGTAATAAAAGCATAATATGCTAATTAGACTGGATGACCTTCCCAACGAAGCTGGGGCTGTGAGGGAAGCCAGTGCCAGCAGCTGGGGAAAGGAAGACCTACTCTTGCATGAATTTCGTGCATCGGGCCTCTGGTATAGGATAAGATCTGAGAGAAAGAGTGGGAATTAAGGCAAAGAAAGGAATTACCAATTCCACAAATATAAGAATAATGAATAATGAATTATGCTCACCTACTCCTATTTTATGTTTATCCTGTCACTAGTACCAGGGGAGAAGGACTGTATGATCTCTCTAATTCCTGGTTATAATGACTATTATGAAGAACAAGAATGCTGTTAAAGAAACTGTGAAGATCAGGGAGACAGAGATTGTAAATATTCACAAAGAGAAAATGCCTGTTAAAAACATCACATAAGGATTCTAACACATTCTAATAATCATTTACACTAAACAGAAGAAAATTTTTCTATGCTATATTTCTTGACATATGTGGCTTATAACATATTAAAATTTTACTTGATATATTATCCAGCTATAAGAGAATACTTAGCATTTTGGTGTTTAACAAAGGAACTGTTGCATTCTCGATGTGTCCAAAATAATATAAGAAAGAAATAAAGACAGAAAGAGGGAAAATCAGACAAAATTTGACACAGGTTATTTTGTGAAAAATGTGCCTAAAATCAAGCAATACAATTTTTCAGAAATGTTAAATGCTAATTGTGAGCTGGAATCATTATATATTGACAAGAAAAATAGTATTGATTTTTTTTCAGCCCCTCAATTTGGAGCCACTGGTATTTTGGGTGAACCTAAAATAGAGTTCTTATGTGAAATTTACTTTTGTTTCTTCCCAATTATGGATGCTGTAGCAGATCTAAGGGCCAAGAGTGAGCAAAGTAACATCGCATTTGTAGTCAGATGTTAGTTGGGGTGCAGTCATCTGAGCTAACCACTGGGCTTATGCTGTTGAGTTTACTGCTAATAGCAACTTTTTTATCTGTGGGAAAACTAAGGCTCAGAGAGCTTAACTAATTTGCTGAAGTATTTGAACCAGGATTGAAACACAATCCAAAGCCCATTTTATTTCTTCTAAATTAAAGAGAAAGTGTTTTCCCCAAGAGAAAGAAAGCTGATTTTCTTTATTATTCTGGATTAGTGGTTGTCTATAAAATGTTGAAAGGCCTCATAAAGGCAAATTTACGTTTGGTGTGTGGTTCAAAGAGAATTTTCTTAACTAGATGGTAAAATGTTCCTTAAAAGAGCTGAGTGTAGAAACAGAACTTGGATTGCTAATGACTTTCTTGTTCATATTTACTTTAAAGTTTTTCTTTTTTTCATTACAAATGTAAAGATGTTTATTTTACAAAAATAGAAATACATAAGAGCATAAAGAAAAAACTACCAACATGCCACTACCTAAAGACAACCATTTTATTAATGCCAACATTTTCTGCTAGTATACTTCCTATGAATATATATTTCTAGTAATGTGTTCATAATAAATATAAAATTTTGTGTCATTTTCACTTAACATTATAGTATAAGACTTTCTATCTGTTAAAACTATTCATATAATTCCATTGTGTAACCTAGAAACAAGCAAGTGAAATATTTATTATGACTCATGTTTAGAACTATTAAGGGAAATATAAAGTACAATAAGATTAAATATTTTCTTTCCGTGAAAACTTTTCTAAAAAATAAATTGTTTCAGATTAAGACATTTGCAAAATGAGATAATTGATAGTAAATCTCATAGGTCAGGCTGTGTATATTTAAAGAAAATTTCAATCCAGTTCTTAAACTTTACTATTATTGGGACAAAGCATTCTCATCTTTCCTGCATCTGAAGATATCTTTGGTAGAAAGGCTTTTTTTGTTCTTTGCATTTTGGTTGGATAAAGCAAATAACTAGTGATTATAGAAAAGAGCAAGCATATCCCCTTTCTTGACTGTTAATCAGTAAATATTTTA